TGCAGTCTATTTATCAGTTTTTTTTCAATTATTTCTTCAAATAGATTCGATGTGAAACTGTACGTACAGCAAAGTATCAACAAGAAAAAAAAAATTCCATTGCGCTTTTTTTGTTAGGCAAAGATTACTGATGACATTGATAGAAAAGGTATCACTTGTAGTCAATATCAATAATTAAAGTTTTGGTCTTTTTTGAAGGAATAGTCAGATTTTGTTAACATCTTGTTATGGTCGCCTTTACCGTCAAAATAACAGTTTGTTAGCATCACAAAAATTCGACAAAGATTTAACAGTCAGTCAAAAACAATTTATTTCTCAATGAGCACATTTCCGGCGATAAATAACGATGCTTAAAACCTTGTCACTTTAAATATTGCTCAAAATTAATTCTCTTTTTTCAAGCTCTTCAAGCTAGCTTATTTTGTTTTTGTTGTAAAAGTGGTTTATAACTGTTACTATAGTGTTTGAGGAAATTACTTCTAAAAGCTGTAACAGTATCTATTCTTCTTTTCAAAATTTCTACAACTTAATAATCGTTGCTTTCCAGAAAAGTTCTTAGAAACAAGTTTTAGTCACTGTTCTTAGCAATCATCTAGAAGAAGAAACTTAACACTAAAATGCTGCGAAAAAAAAAAAGACAATTGAATTCCTCTGATAAGCGAAACAGTAAAATGACCATCTGCAAACATCGAGAAGAACCATAGAAACTGAAAGTGTGATCACTGTTGAGAAACATCCAAAAAAAAGTGAGGTGATGAAGAAAAATTTGGATTGAACAAAAACTTTATCAAATTTTTACTCAAAAATTTTTTACTTTTAATCACACTGTTGTTAAAACTTAAAACTTGATAATTTTTAACTTACATCTGCAAGATTTAAAATGCTGTAAAACTGATGAAGCAAACATTATTACTGTACTGCTGTTTTGGAAAAAAAAAATCTAATTTTTTCTCATTTTCATAAATTCATTCAGCACACTGCTGTTCACTTATCAATCTCGTGAATTATGTGCAACAATTTACAAAATATACAGGAAAAAAAAGAATTTTTCTTTCTAAATACAATTTTTAAATTCTGGCCATACTTTGTCCAAATTAATTGCTGTGTAAAATTTTTTGAATAAACAATTTCAGTTTTCTGTTTGATTACAAAAAAAAAATAAAAAATAAAGTTTTTTTTTTTGATTAACTGCAATTAAAAACCTTTTTTTTTTCAATGTTACAAATGATTCAATGACCTTATTTATACTTTTATGAAACAACGACAAGAAAAAAAAAAAAGAGATTTTTGATGCAATACCGCTTTAATACAGTAAAAGTTCAGAAGATAATCCAAATAAAGCAGCTTTAAATGCTCTGAGTCATCGAATGGTATATCCGTAAAAATTTTTTCCGCTAATTACCACCAAAAAAAAATTTTTACTTAAACCATCACACAATAATATGCAAAAAAAAATATTTAGACAGATAAAACAATTCTTGAATTGTTTTTCTTTTCTAAACTGCAATAAAGAAAACAAAACAGAATTGCTGTTTTAACTTTTATTATCGACAAAAAGTTTGTTGCAAAAAAAAAAAAAATGAAAAGAAGAAATCTTCAGTTTTAGTATTTTTTCTTTTCGTTTTTAACTTTACCACTAATGCCAAGAAGAAAAAAAAAAAACCATTTAAACACCCTTATCATTCAACAACAAAACAATATGTATAGAAGCAAAAAAAGATTTCAAATGATAAATCAGTTGTTTATTTACAGTGATTTTTGCGGTCATCAACAGTTTTCTAAAATACTTTTGCAAAACTGCATTACCGATTGCCTTTAACAACGGAAATAAACTGTTGTGATAAATTTAAAAAAATTGTTTGGTAAAAATTTAGCACTTTGTTTGGTACTCATTTCATTGCTTAAATTCTCAATATTTGCTCAACAGTTATATATATAAACAGCACCATTAAATTTAAAAATTTTTTGAACAAAAACAAAGAAAAAAGTATATAATTTTGTAATTTGATACTTAACAACAACGATAACAACAACAAAATAATTGAGGTGCTAAAAATCAATCTGCCGAAGACAACAGAAAAAAGTGTAGTAGAAAAAAAAAAAACAAAAACAAAAACGAGAAAAGAAAAAATAGTTGATCAATTCAAAAAAATGAATCTGAATCAAACATCCTTCAAATGGTTCATGTCTAGACATTTACCAAATTTTTTTTTTTTTCTTTTGCTTTTGCTTTTTCAACTTAACAATAAATCCACTTAAACTTACTAATTAATTAAAGAAAAAACAAAAATTCTGAAAACTTGTGTAACTTTTTTTCCTGCCTTCTCCTCTAATCGCTTATTTCTGTTATGTTCAAACTAAACGATTTGCTAAAAAATTTTTCTTCATTTTTCTGCTGATGTACAAAACCATTACATTTAGGCCACTTAAAACGCCCCGTTGTACACTTTTATTTACTAAGATGACATTAGAAGATGAAAAAAAGAAAAAAGGCTATTTCCGCGTGTATAGTTCTCGAATGGTAGTAAATTGAAAAAAAAAAGTAAAAGTAAGAGTAAGTAAATAGATGAATTAACACATCTCCAGAACTAAATGAAGAAAATCTGTATGTAACAAAGTAAATAAATAGGTAAATAAAAATTTGTATGTTTGAACAAATGAACAAAAAATAACTGTATACTATACTACAGGAAAACAATGAAAAATAAAAAGAGATAAAAACTAACAAGATTCCGGTCGATACATTGATTCTGACAATCCTGCAGCGATTTCGAGAATACAGTATCCTGACCGCAATTAGCATATTCGAGGAGTACTGTTAGATGGACGATGATGAGCAGAAAAAAGGCGTCGATAAATGTGTTATCGAAACTCATGGAATGGCCATGTGCTGGTTGTTGCTGACTTTGTCAGGGTGGAAAAAATTTTTTTCCTTTTCTCTTTTTTTTCTTTTTTTTTTTCTTCTTTTTTTTTCTTTTTTTGAAAACAAATCACAGGACGATCCGAAACAACTAAACAGTCAAAAATGCTCAACTCATAACGCAAAAACCAAAAAATACCGGTTTGTCTTGGTATTTGCCGTTTAGATCGCTCTTCAAATATACGTTATTTCTCGTTGACAATTGTCGCCATATTTTCTGTCTCTTTTTTGTCTCTTTGAATCGTCATAACCATTCTCGTAGAACTGCCTTATGACCGTCTTTGGTTTCCCTCTCAGTCCCCGTTTTACCCGCTGTTTCTCAATCCCCCCCCATTCTCCTCCCCGTATTATTCCACCCCTGCGCCCCGTCTCGCCTCTTCTCTCTCTCCCCCTCTCCCCTTAAGGCCACAAGACTTCGCCTCTCGCCATTCTATCGAACCAAGAAATTGGTTATATTATTGTTTCATGTTAATTTTATTGTCG